CAGCAGCAGGCAGCTGTTTCCAGTAAAAAAAAAAAGCTCTTATAAAACAAATGTGCACTACCCACCCAAATAGCAAAGACACATAGTGACTAGCAGATGAACATAGTGTAGCATTTAGAGGCTAAAAAGTCAGATATTTCCCTCAGAAGTTGGTGGAGACCAAAACAGAGCTTAAATGTGAGAATACTGGACTCGTATGGTCATTAAGGAGCCAGAAAGATCGATAGGTAGGTATCAGATTATTAGTCTCTGATAACTGTATTTCAACTCTCATACAACTGTTTTTTGCTACATAAAAATTTAAAATTTGTAGAAAAATGTTCATATTCCTCAAACTAAGGTATTCAAATCAATACAATATCCAGTCATATTTACGTCCATGTCTAGATCACGTTAGCTGCAGTCTGACACCCACTCAAGTCTCAGCCCTCATTATGACTCATGAGGAGGTCAAGGTCAGGCATAGTCGGTCGTCTCATTCCTCCTTCCTCTCTCTGCTCGTTTACCCTCTGAGGGCAAGTAGAAGTGTCACTGGCAGCACTCTCCTCCATGTCATTACTCAGACTGCAGATAACAGGGACTTCATTAGGACAAAGGCCTGTCAATGTTGGGCTTGTTCCTTAACCACCATGACTCTCTGTGACCAAATGCCGATAGGAGGTAACTGACCTTTCTGTAGCGAGACCGAAAGGCTTCATGGGTGCTCACCACTGTCACTTTGAGATTATTCCCTTGCTGCAACATTACTAACCAATCTGACGTGCCTGCTAATTTATAGGGCCATGATAAAGTGAAGAAAACATGAATACACACAAATAAAATAAAAACACTTGAATAGGGACATCATTTCTCCAGCTAGAAACCGATTTCTTGGCCAAGTATACATGTAAAATGATCTGCCAACTCTGCATAATCTAAATTAAATTGAAGATGTTCAGCTTGTGCGCACATAAAATACAATGACACAACGTAAGTTAAAAAATATGTATGTTTTTAAAGTGTAAAGCATG